ATATATATATATATATATATATACACATACATATACATACATATAAAGCACATGTAAAGCACATGTAAAGTAAAGTAAAAGACAAGTAAAAAGATAGCAATGAAATAAAATTAAAAAACCCTGAAATGTTTACATACATTAATACATTTAACAGCTTTCTTGTTTAGCAGATTATAGATTTTAGGTATTGCTGAACTTCAGATTTCAGAAATAGAAAAAGTAGTTTATAATCACAATACTTGCATTTCTGTATACTAAATTTTATTTATACTTGAATTTATTTTCGTGAAATTACCTTAAATTAATATTAACCCAAGAATTCTGTCTTGATTTACTCATAAGCCTATTAAAAATAGCTCTAAAATGCTAATACTTTTTCGGGTTGTAGGACTACAAACTAAACATTTCTATATTTTCAAATGAGTTTAAATGAAAAGATCACTGTTAGTTAAAGTTTTCTGTTCACTCCATCTGTAATCCTCTGGACCGGTTCATTTGTCCGAATTGGCGCAATCTCTCCAAGGGGTGGCGTTTTACACCCGCTTCTCTCCAGTGCGCTTGAAATCACCCCCTCCGTCGCTCTTATCAGCAATTCAGATTGCATGCAAATGCCCTGTGAAAGGAGCGTCATTCTGAAAGGACAGCGAGTGCGTGCGCGAGGGGGGTGAGCAGAGGCTTTCCTCGTTCCTCTCTCTATTCTTCTCTGTCTGCCGGCTGATGCTCGCGCGATCACTCAGCGCAGATATGAGCGCAGATCGCAGAGAAGTTTGAAGAACGCAGAGAGCAGCGCGCGGTCGGATTAGTATTTCCATCAAACTTGCTGCAGAACTCGTCCGGCGTTTGCATTGAGAGGTCTTTACTTTCTCTTTTAACCGTTTGGTTTGACCATGGGCTCTTTTTGCAGAAAGGCGTTTTATTGGCCCGTTTGGTCATTTGCTGTTGGTTTTGTGCTTTTGAGTACGCGTTGTCATGGAAGTTGTTCAGAAAAGGAGCTGGAAAAACGAGAAGAAGAGGCGAATATAGTTTTAACCGGGACTGTAGAGGAGATCTTGAACATGGATCCAGTGCACAACACTTATTCCTGCAAGGTAAGACTTTGCGCACCAGACACTCTTCAAATGCATCAAAGTGAAAGTGAAAAGGTAAATATGTACTTCATAACACATCGTATCAAAAGTCTAAGCTTATTCTTTAATACCTGTGGCTACTGTGCAACTGTGTTGCAATCTATATCACCTGTTAGACATGTAGACACAAAGCTACCAGTCCAATATTTGAGTTGTCCTGGTCTGAAACTCGCAGCATATAATGTTAAAATGCTGTCTAAATGGGCACTTCACTAGGTTTTGAGCCTAATAAATCATGAACACCAGGGGTTTCAACCACTCTTTGCAATATCAAATTGCATACAACTATAAATAAAAGGGATTTTTAAAAACTCTTCCTAATCGGTTTTTCTAACGTGTGGACATTGGTTCTGCTCAGTTGATGAAAAATGTCAACCTCCTCAGTCCCACTATGACCCACTTGTAATTTGAGCTTTCATACACCAGGAACCTGAACCTCAGCCTTTGCAGTGACTTGATGTCCTTTCAGGTTCTATTAGTGCTTCGGGTTCAATTATCTTCAGTTATCATGTAATCATGTAATCAAGGCTTACTTTGTTGGATGTAACTGAATGCGGTCACATATATCAAAGTCTTGCAGAAACTAATCAGTAGGACATAAAAAATGTGAAAATAAGAATAATCTGAAATTGCAGCTCTTCCCACCATCATTTCATTGTGTTACAGAAGAGATATGACACTGCAAAGCTTACACGTTAAAGTTAAAAGTTCTGAGACATATAGTGAAAAATGCTTCCTTTTTGCAGTTTTATAACTGCAAAACTGCATAACAGTTTGAATGAAAAGTTTATTTGAAAAATATACCTTTTTTTTTAAATTTGCATTCAATAGCTCAGCCACAATTTTGTGTAAAACCTGATGATCATGTTATCCATCACTGAACATCTGACCACCAGGAGTTCACATGGTCACGCTTTGGATGTGACCTATGAATAGTGCAGAATTTGATATTTCTTATTCATTTCACATTGTAACTTCTTGTTTTAAGTATTTTAAAATCCTTTTAATGTGGTCTCACACTTTTTGGACCCCCACTGTGATATATATATATATATATATATATATATATATATATATATATGAATCAGAAATGCAGAGTTAGACTGCACAGTCTTATGCAACTGGCGGTAGGTGGCCGCTATGGAATGTGCAAGAAAGTGACCTTGATCTGCTGGAAATGGTGTTTTCTTAATCTCATGTAGTCTTTCCCCTGTCTGAAGGTCAGGGTATGGCGTTACCTAAAAGGCAAGATCATGGTGAACGGAGAGGTGCTGCTGGACGGAGGAAACAAGGTGATGATCGGCGGTTTCGGAGACCCCCATATTTGTGATAATCGGGTGGCTACCGGAGATACGCGCATTTTCTTTGTCAACCTGTCTCCTCACTTCATGTGGCCGAGCCACAAGAACGAACTGATGCTCAACTCAAGCCTGATGAGGATTACTCTCCGCAACTTGGAGGAGGTGGAGCACTGCGTTGAAGGTAAGAAACACTTTTCTGACTCAGCATAAAGCTGTAATTCACATCTTCTGGCCGTGTAGAGATTTGAGAGTTCGAAAGCTCCCGTGGTGGTGATGGTGGTCCTGATTGCAAAAGCAGGTGGTGTTTTCTGCTCTAACTGCATCTTTATTCTACCTAATGAAGCGACTCGCATTTTGTGACATTACATTAACAACTTACATTATATTAATACAGCAGTCATGGTGTTCTAAATGAAACTTTACCCATTTTATTTCTTCTCTCAACTTTTTTTGATAGCCGGCAACACTTATTGAATTTTTGAGCCCCAGGGCCTTAAACACAAAGCATATCATGTGCGCCGTCACTAGTAATCAGCCACTGACAGTCAGTGCTCTCGAAGGAGGGTGTGTCTGTTCGCTAACTGAGCACCTCCAGGGCCTTTGACTAACCTGAGTGAAAGTCCAAACCTCTACCTTTCCTTGAGGGAAATCATTTATAGAGTTAGAGTGGAGATACTAAAACATAACCGCAGAGCTTCAAGCTATGGGGCCCTCGCAAGGGTCCCTGTATCTGTGTTAGGATGGCATTCACTGCTTATTTCCACCTTCTCAAAGCCAGACTGTCAGAAGAAAGTTTGGCTCTGTGGGAAAGAATAGTTGAATGAATAAGGCCAGACTGATGTCCAAACTTCTGTGTCTTTTCGGTTTATTAATGTAAATTTGAAATAGTGGTTGTCCTTGGCGAATGGCGAGTTCCTTTTTCCATTTTGTAAATCAGCAGTGCTTGTAGATTAATCTTGTTTAGTGTTCCACAATGCTGGCAACCGTGCAAGTAGAGAATATACACATTAGTCTGGAATGCAACAGAGCATTTGAAGCTAACATCACTCTTATAGGTCCAATCGATTCTGTAAATCGGCACTCTGCATCCTCTCTGTTTGGCAGGTTGTATTGTCTAGACTTTTGAATCATCAAGTCTGGTCCAGTTTTCAGCTTTTTCTGGAAGAGATAGCTTGATAGACTTTTAAAGTATCCCTATTATGCTATTTGAAGGGTTTATAATTTGGTTTTGGGAGTCCCCAACAAGAGGTTTACATGCATGCAAGGTCAAAAACATGTTTATTTTATTATAACATGCATTTAATTTTACCTTATTCAGCCCTTTACGAACACCTTTGCAACTGAATCGCCATTGGCTAGTACATTTTTTTGTTTACTCGCCAGACTGATAAATATATACTGTACATACACATATACACACACACATACATACACACACATATACACACACGTATATATACATATATATGTTTGTGTAATGGCACAGTTTTATAAATATCTGAAAGTACACTCTTAACATCAGTCAGTCAAGCATTATAATATGATAATCAATGTTATTTAATGATAGAACTTTTGTAATTAGAATTAAAACTTGATAACCATGTATGAATGCATATTAGTCATTTTAACCGAACTTCGGACTGGTGCTAGTGCTTTTTTGGTCATTCAGTGTTTCTGTAAAAAAATATTTGGGGAAAACCTAACAAAAATACTAATTACATAATAATGATACGAATTCTACTAATAAGAACAATATAAAACGCACCAAGGATTAATGAGCTACTGGATTCATGAATATTAATCAGGTTGTGTGCGCGTTCGCTCGAACTGATTTGCTGAAATCAAAACAGGGACGATGATAAGTGAGCACCAGCCAATGAGATTGCCGTTTGTGCATTAGTTCCGCCCACTACCAGAGAAAGCGTTAGTTCTTAAAAGCTGAAGAATTCCAAAAGGAACTCCGTTATTTTGACAGCAAAATACAACAAAGAATATCGTTTACATGTAGCGCGCATAGCTAGAGCGTGAATTCTCTCTCTCCCTCTCTCGCTGCGTGTGTGTGAAACAAAGCGACTGCGAGTCGTGCGCCTTCACACTAGAGTTTACGGTATTTTAAACACAGGTGCGTTGCACATCCATTCAGTTGAACTGAAAAACAGCACAGATCGCTTGACGAAGAGTGAAACTCTGAAGCGCTCAGTCAGAGTGTTCTGTGAGTGAAAATATATCTGTGCTAAACTTATACTTGGCCTCCAACTCACACACTGGTGAGTAAAATCTAAAAATTTGTTAGCAATTGGCTAATATTAGACATCATTTAGTCGCCAGAGTGAAGATTTAGTCGCATATGCGAGTGATTTGCAATGTAGAGGGTTGCTTATTTCTCAACGAAATGAATCATTTGATGATTCATCTTTCCAAACCCCACCTTTGCGTGAAGCTACTCTGCTCTGATTGGTCAGATGACCCAGTCTGTTGTGATTGGTCTACTGCGTAAAGCACATGTCGGAAACGGAACGCCCATCACCATTACGGTTTATCAATAATACATCCTATTATGATAATCATAGTTCTCCACTCGGTCCTAAAAATAGGGAAAAAGTTGTTTTACACTTCTGTTAGTGAACCGGACCCACAGCTTGGTAGTAAAGACCCAAACAATAACGGTATATGTGTTACCCAAACACAGACATGGAGTACTGATAAATCACTGCAGTTTGTAAACCAACGTATTGCTCCATCCTTTATCATGACTCCAAGTAATAAGAACGACATACATTCTATATTATATTATATATAGGGGCTCTTTAAAATTTTGAAACCATTTTGTGGTGTTTTTATGTGTCATTTAGGGGCAAGTATATCTGAAGTGGTTAACATTTATTGAAATAACAGCATTAGATTCAGTTTACTTCCTGGTTAGTGTTAATGCACAATTCTGCACCTCCATTGAAAGTCCATTCCTCCAAAACTTTGAGGCTTTAAAAAGCTCATAGACGTAGACATTTAATTTAGGTTTAATTTAGGCTTTTATTTATGTGGAAATTGACCAACTCATACATAGAGCACATCAAATATGGTCAACGGAAGCACAAACGTTTGCTTGACGTGTGAGAATCAGTGAAATCTGTTCTTGCGTGAACCTTTGTTCTTGCATGGCAACAGATACGGTTGAGCTTCTGTTTCTGAAAGAATTCGTATTTTTGGGTGAGCAATGCCTTTAAGTAAGCCAAACAAGCACAAAACGTCCCTTTTCTTCTCCTTTTTTTCTTAGTTCTCTGGTTTTTAGTGCTGAGCTTTTTGGCACAAGCCACTGCTTGAGGGGAGCCTGTCTTTTTTGAGGCTGTTTTCTAAAATCTTAAAAGGTTTGATGAAGGGGCAATTTAGGAGAGTACCGTATTTTGCATTCGCACATGGCGGGCAAAGTGTAAGGCCACTGAAAATAATGCTGCTCTGGCTAATGAGAGGCCATGTGCTTCATATAACAAATGTGATTCTTTTTATATTGTAATAGGATTGGATCTCATTTTGCACACACGATGCTCAAAATATATGCTATACATAGCAAACAGCTGTGCTTAGAATGGCCAACAATTTGGTTTAACACGCAGCTTGCAAATTCTAATTCTGAGTCTATAAACAGAGACTGTGTTCAAAACATTCAGAAACACTGGTTCTGACCTTGCTTTTGACATGGTTAGACAAGTATACTATAAACCAGGCCTTCAATAAAAAGTGCTGCCCTGCAGGCTGAGTGACTTGGAATAGTGCCTAATGGTGTTCGTTTTGTGTTGGCTAAACTGATTTGGGAATTTGATGTTATCCATCCATTATGTAATAAAGCATGACCTTTTAGTGAAGTTTATTTTTCCTTTCCTTTGTCACTGCTTTGTAACCTTGTTTTAGACCTTAAAAGAGAGTGTGGGGTGGAAAGAACAAGATCGTACCTGCCAGCCTGTTGAGTGTATCATCTCCTCTCTCCTCACCTCTGACAGGTTACATGGCACTGACAAATGAAGAGATTCCTAGCTGAAGTTTAGAATACTGCCGTCAAAGACAAAGTTTTCTTAAGGGGGGAAAAAGCGTTGTTGATAATGACAGGATTGGGAGGGTGAAATGTGATAACGAGAGCGCAACAAGAAATTCTTGATACAAGTGTAGACTGGAACGCTTATAGGAGAGGCGTGAGTTCTCACTCCCACCCCGTTTGCTCTTTGCTGAAACAGACCAATTGGGTTCTTACGTGAAAAAGCACTTGGGTTAATACGTTCATCTGGCAAAAATACACCAAATGCATCTGTGGAACTTCAAATGAGATGTTTAGAAGAATGTCTGAGCTCCTGATAGTTTTGTGAAGCTTTTTTGTCCTTTTGGAGCTTGATGGGCCCTGGTCCCCATCCATTTTTATTGAATGGACTTCTATTTATATGGAAAAAAAATAGTCATACAGGTTTGGAATGACATGAAGATGAGTAAATGGTTTTATTGAGTGAACTAATCTTTTAAATCCTGTTTTATTCCACAGCTGGAATTGTGCGTCACAAGTCCAGTGGTTGAATCTGGAAATCTGCAAACAGAGTACTCAGAGAGATTTTGCCGTTGTTTGTTCAATCAACAAATCAAATGTTCTCCTTTCTCTGAAGTTGGCATGTGCGAACATGCCACTTTCCAGTGTTTCTGTGACTTTGTTTGCATATGTGAATGCTAATTCATTAAATGCCAAACTGCACAATAGTGGAAGCTTGCGTTGTGCTGGAAGATAATCGTTTAAACCAAAGTGGACCTGTTTCAAACTGTTGTGATCCCTTGCATTTCTGATCTCTGAATAGAGTGAATTAAGCCAGACGAAAAAAGAACAGCTGGAAAGCATAGGAAAGTTGGAAAGAAAAAAAATATATGTTATGGCTTCATGTGTTAAGTATTGCAGCAGCTTTTAAACTTGAGGAAGAAGTATTGAAACTTAAGCAAAGAGAATGAAAGCATGAAGAAGCATGATTTATTGTAGCAATGAGAAGTCAGATTACTTTTGGTGAATCTGTTCATTGCAGTGAACCTGTTCTAAAAATCCAAATCACTGATCCATTTGAGGTATCTCTCAAAAGTATTTCCAGAAATTGTTAAATGAATAATTGTGAAGGCTTAAGAAATTGAGCTTATCATTATTGATATACCAAAAACATA